AATATGAGAATGTTCATTTAACATTCTCATATTTGAAATCCTTACTTGTTTTATTTTTGTAAAACAAGTACTGGAATTTTTTGATTCAATTTTTGTTTTTAAGGTTAATAATTAAATTTTATTATTGTTGTTAGATTCTATTGAAAATTCATTTTTCAATAGATTTTAACAACAATTGTGTACGTTTGGACGTAACAAGATGAATTCTCCAATGATCGTCTGGGGAAAAATATGACGGCTCAATCACTGCGGAATAAAAACATTCCCCACAATTTACACATCCACTTCTCACTCGCGACACCCAATTACCGGCCCGTGAACAAAATTATTATATTTTTCGCGATTTTTCCCGGAAAGATTCGATGCACTGAACGCCCGTAATTTTTGTCCACGAGTACGAAGCGATCAGCTGTAAATTTTAGGGAAACGAAGTTTAGACAGATAGCGATAGTGTGGCCTCTCAATCTCGGAGAGGCAAAAATGAGTTTTACGGCAGAAGTGATCAGGAGCGTACGAAGGAGGAGCACTTTTGGGGGCTAATATCTTAATGGGGGGATGGGAATAAATGGTGCTGGGAGGGTGAATTTCTAAATAAGGGGTTAGACAGATGCGTCAAGATAGAGGGTGGGTGGAAGGGTGAAACTGGGACTGAGAAAGGGGTGCGTGTATAAACATGGTGTTGGTAGGCATGGATAGGGGTGAAATGAAGGGTTGAAAATGGGATGAATGCATGTCGGAAATTCGGAGGTTTTATGGTGAAGGGATAAAATGCTTCTGGACAAAATGGGGGGTTTGTACACCCTCATCAACACATTCCCAAGATGCCCGACGGGGTAAAAGTCTGTACAGGGGTAAAAAAAAATTTCTCCACAGGGATGGGTAAATCGACTCAGGGGGTGATTCTGAGTCAATCTGTACCTATAAATTTCGACCTTTTTTTTCCAACCTCACTAACCCTCTTTTGAGATGGCCGACGGGGTAAAAAAAAAGTCTTTACAGCGGTGGGTAAATCGACTCAGGGGGTGATTCTGAGTCTATTTGTACCTATGAATTTCGACCTTTGTTTTCCACCCTCACTAACCTTCCTTCAAGATGACCGATGGGGTAAAAAAAAAAGTCTTTACAGGGGTGTATCAATCGACTCAGGTAATAATTCTGAGTCTATTCGTACCTATAAATTTCGACATTTTTTTTCCACCCTCCCAAACCCGCCTTCAAGATGGGCGAAAAAAAAAGTCTTTACAGGGGTGGGTGAATCGACTCAGGGGGTGATTCTGAGTCGATCTGTACCGATAAATTTCGACCTTTTTTGGGTGGAAGGGTGGAAGAAAAAATCGAAATTTATAGGTACAGATCGACTCAGAATCACGCCCTGAGTCGATTTACCTACCCCTGTGAATTTTTTTTTACCCCATCGGTCATCTTGAAGGAAGGTTAGAGAGGGTGGAAAACAAAGGTCGAAATTTATAGGTTCAAATCGACTCAGAATCATCCCCTGAGTCGATTTACCCACCCCTGCAAAGCCTTTTCTTTCCCCCATCATTTTGAAGGAGGGTTAATGAGGGTGAAAAAGAAATTCGAAATTTATAGGTACAAATAGACTGAGAATCATCCCCTGAGTCGATTTACACACTCCTGTGAAGACTTTATTTTTACTCCATCGGCCATCTTGAAGGAGGGTTAGTGAGGGTGGAAAAAAAATGTCGAAATTTATAGGTACAGATCGACTCAGAATCATCCCCTGAGTCGATTCACCCACCCCTGTAAAGACTTTTTTTTAGCCCATCGGCCATCTTGAAGGGGGGTTAGGGAGGATGGAAAAAAAATGTCGAAATTTATAGGTACAAATATACTCAGAATCATCCGCGGAGTCGATTTACACACCCCTGTAAAGACTTTTTTTTTATCCCATCGGTCATCTTGAAGGAAGGTTGTTGAGGGTGGAAAACGAAGGTGGAAATTTATTGGTACTAATCGACTCAGCATCATCCCCTGAGTCGATTTACACACCCCTGTAAAGACTTTTTTTTGACCCCATCGGTCATCTAGAAGGAGGGTTAGTGAGGGTGGAAAAAAAATGTCGAAATTTATAGGTACAGATCGACTCAGAATCATCCCCTGAGTCGATTCACCCACTCCTGTAAAGACTTTTTTTTTAGCCCATCGGCCATCTTGAAGGAGGGTTAGAGTGGGTGGAAAAAAAATGTCGAAATTTATAGGTACAAGTAGACTCAGAATCATCCCCGGAGTCGATTTACACACCCCTGTAAAGACTTTTTTTTTACCCCATCGGTCATCTTGAAGGAAGGTTAGTGAGGGTGGAAAACGAAGGTCGAAATTTATGGGTACAGATCGACTCAGAATCATCCCCTGAGTCGATTCACCCACCCCTGTAAAGACTTTTTTTTTTACCGCATCGGCCATCTTGGAAATGTATTAGGGAGGGTGGATACAAAAATGTCGAAATTTATAGGTACAGATCGACTCACAATCGTCCCCTGAGTCGATTTACCCACCTCTGTGGAGACTTTTTTTTTACCCCGTCGACCATCTCAAAAGAGGTTTAGTGAGGTTCGAAAAAAGTGCATTGCACATTTGGGTACATCTTTCCCATCCCCCTCCTCCACCCTCCTCGCCGCACTGTTCAGCTATAAATCTCCCATTCACCTTAGTGACATGTCGAATGAAAAAAAAAGAATGAAAAAATTTTTCGGCGCCCTCCGAAGCCGCACTGTCCGATGTTGCCCTGGTTTCGAGCGATTGCCGTGGATACCGACAAGGCATCGCTTGAGATTAAGGTTCGGGTTTTGTCCGCGGAGAAGGAGGGCGTAAAATCGCCAATCGCGACAAAATTCCCTCCATCCGGGCCTTAATGTCTCCTTACAAAGACCAAACTCACCCGCCAGCAATCCACCTTTGATTGGCGGCAGAGAAATTATCTCGTCAGCGTATCTAAAGGAAGGAGTTCCGGAAAGCACAAGGAAACAAAACAATTAAGGAGAGGGCGTAAGGAGAGCCTGTATGTGGCGACTCCGATGTCGCCTAGTACCAGCGCAGAGAGTATTGCGCCAGCGCCGCGCATGCGCTGTTTGCACCACGAGACTAGCATCACGAGACATATAACGCTTCACGTATAGCGAACATTCCAAACATTTAATTGTATTAATCGTGTTAACTAGTTTTACGACTTTTGCGATAAATATATATTGTGGAGAGTTGAGTTGATTCAAGCATCCTGGGGAAAATTGGTTAGATAGCTAAATGTACTCCGAATTTTACTTTACACTTTGAATGATATGATAGGAAGTATGATAAGTATGACTACAAAAATTATCATCTTCCAACGAGACTGTTCATATAATTTTGCGGGCTCGTTCATCTTGCAATTTTCGGGCTGCTGGGATGTTAGGGCGGGAACTAGCTAACTACATAAGCGCAAAAACTGCACCCCATCAGACCGGACTATATTTTTCCATGGTGATTATCAAGTTTTGGTATTTGGAAAGTATGTAATATCAAATCTCAGCCGAGAAATGATGAGAAGCAGTATGGAAAGATTATTTTATAAAGAACACGACTTTTTGTTATAGATTGTACAACTGGCGATATGAATGCTGCTGAAGATCCTTACGAAGAAAATTTATGCAGAATCTGTTGGGATTCCCCTATCGAGTGTGTGATTCTCGAATGTGGACATATGGCTTGCTGCCTAGAGTGTGGAAAGCAAATGAATGAATGTCCGATCTGTCGCCAATATGTAGTGAGAGTTGTTAGATTTTTCAAGGCATAAAATGAAAATCATTCCAACATTCTAAAATAAAATGAAAGAAGGAATCAAGAGAATGCGGATTCTCAATGTATGATCGGCAAAGCCTTCCTTTACACTATGTTCTTATGGAAGCTTTTAGAAAACATGATTTGGCTAACAGTCTGTTTCTGTTTTTCTTATAAAATTTTTGGCTAGATTAAACAACTTTTTTCATCTTTCTGTAATATTGATCAATGTCATTGAATTGGTTTTCAGGCGTATAGGGCATTACTAGAAAAACTTCAACAATGGTAGATTAAAATGTAAGGAAGTTGATTGTAACGGTATAAGAAAATAAAATTATTTATCCATATTCGCCATATTAAAATTTCCAAGACTCCAGAACTCTCAACAAATGTCCACATTCGTGCCGATTTGTCAAGTGCAGCTAAAGAGATTCAGTAATGCCGTTAAAACAACAGAACGGATATAAAGACTCAGTCAGCATGTAAACGTTCTGACGATTTCGTGAATCCAAGCAGACGTGATTTAGAACTGCACTCCATACGATTTCAAATGTTCCATCTTATTCCATCCAAAACATCCCAGGATACTAAGAAGTTGCTGGCAAGATATCAAAATCATACGGGGAAAATAAACTCAATAACGGAAAATCGTACGCCGAGGAGAATAAATCCATATTACAGTTAAAAGAATCATTTAAAAATGAACATTTATGAAGTTGATTACAACCAAAAAGAATAAACATAAATAGAGCTCCATTTCTGTCCCGAATCGGAGCGATAGCTGAGTTACCGGTTCAGCCTGCTCTGCTTCACTGGTGAGTTCACGGTAGCGTCTTCCTTTTCCCGAGGTGAAAGTAATCACTGATTGCCGCCTATACCTCGAGAAATGCAGCTTTATTCATGTTTATTCTAATTGCTATAACCCTTAGCTGACGTTGAAATATCCTTGCAATTTAATTCCACTTTAATGGAAGAAAAACCATGATTCCGCTGTAGTTCGACTGTCAGTTCTTTGTTTTTTGGTATTGCTCATTATTCTTACGCATAAATGTACAGTTTAGCTCCATCACAAATAATTAATCTGAGAGATTCTCATTTCTCTGCTTGATTCAGATCAGCTCCTGAATATTTTTAAGACTGAATTAATTCATAGTCGTGGAGGTAAACATGGGGATAACAAATGCATTGCATTGTAACCTTGGCAAGTAGAGTTGCCAGATTGAGGTTTTTTTTAAATGTTTTTTATTTTATTTTTGACAGTCACAGTGAATCGAGTGAAGTCGATCGCGCGAAGAATTGATGATTGACTTTTCGAACAACGTAGTTGATATTTCAATGAGAGCGTACTATGATATACCCCAGGGGTAAGCAACATCTGATCGGAGAGTAAGTCCTGGTCCCGACCACCATTAGTATATGACAAAGGGTTGCAACGCGATTTTCGCGTTAATAATAATGGAGAATAATCATTGGGTTAAAATCACGCTCTCTGCCCTATCGATTGGGTCCGCTAATTCCCTACGCGTGGGGAGTTGAGGTTATAGTACTAAAACTTAGCTGCCAATGAGACTCCTCTGTCGGAACTGTTCCACGTTAGACGGGGCGGGCATTCAAATGGCCAGGGGTCCAGATAAGGGGTTAACTGGACAGCCTGGTTGGGGACATTTGAATTCGGCGCGCTCCAGGAAACGTTACCTGCAGGGATATCCTCGCGGTGGTGATAAGAACCACGGACGATCACCCACGCACTTCAGCCGCGTGAGTCGGGAGTGGGGAGCAGAGGTCCTAGGGAGCACTCTCCTCTCCACACAGCAGAGTTGCTCCGGCACTCTCACGGGCCACTCGGCCCCGAGCTCTGACAGCGCGTAGCTCTCGGTGATTAGCGTAGCTATATAGCCCGCCTTATCGCTTTACCTATCGCTATCTCTCTTACAGCCATGGGCTGAGCTAACGAACTTTAGTAGGAACTACTAACATACTAGGTATGCCTATACCTAGAGCTCTCGCTATGATAGCGCACATTGGCAACTATGGGCGTTCTACCGCGATCTAATTACCGATCGCTCTCGCCTCTATCGACCTGATCTGCTATCGATCATCCTACCCTACCAACCTTCCGACGCTATCGGGGACCGACCACACTAAAGGAACTCCGACCCTCTCTCCATAACCTAGCATACTGAGTGACCCAGTGCTCCCGCACGCGTTCTAACTTTACATCCGCCACTTTGGTATTTCGCGGGAAGTCTCCAAAGGTCCTCACTGGGCCCTGGGAAAGGGACAGTGACGATCTCTGGTCACGCAGCTAATTTTAATTCATCGGTCTTTCCTGATTGTGTCCTTAACAACTAGGCGGAAACTTATCGGTCTTTCCTAATTGTGTCCTTAACAACTAGGCGGAACTTATTGTCTGTCCTGTCGCGAGAACGGGCAAACCCCACCGTTCTGTGCTCTCGTCCGTATGCGTTATCGGCTATTTCTGGGGAGGTGCTAACCCCCACCTCCCCCGGCATCTTCGGTCTTTTTTAATTGTGTCCTCAACAACTAGGCGGCTTAAATGGTATTTCCTAATTGTATCCTTAACAACTAGGCGGCTCTCTGGTTTGTCATTTTACCCACTTAAAATAGCTGGCGCCCTCCTGGTAAACTCGCGGATGCTACGGAACCGGCGAAGGTAACCAATTCCTCGGACTTACGAAACACTCCGGGGAAAATATCGTTATAAATGGCGCCCGATGTGTTCTTGTGGAACGGCCCTACTATCAGAGCTCAACAGGGATCGATTAGTGGAGCACGGTCGATAAGCCGAGACGAAACTTTATCAATCGAAACGTTATCGACCGGAAAATCACCGATGGCGCCACGCTAAGTTGACACATCCCCACTCTGCCACTCAAGAAAGAGCCTCAGTGAGCGGAAGAAGTGAAATCAAAGTTTAGTCCACTATCGATCATCCGAGAGGAACTACCTACTACCAGCTAACGATTACAGTATGGAGAACATGCAGGGAAAAACAAGTGGTGATTCGGTAAGCTAACCTCACTTCCGGAAATCCCATACATCCAAAGATATCTGACGCTATCTAACCCCATAAACCTTTCGCCCTTGCTTCCTGCTTGTGGTGGCGTGGCTGACCTTCTTTTCAGGCACCAAAATCATGGGCCGAAGAAGTGGGAGCAGCAGAAGAGACTTTATCAGCACACATGGCTGGGCAGGATTCGCCAATGGCAACAGAGGGGAAAGAGCTGAACGCCACAGAGAAGTCAGAACTCCTCGGAGAAGAAATGGACTTCGTCATAGTCCCACTCCTCGAAAACACCACCGAGGAGCCACATTCCAGGGTGACCAACACCCCTGACAGTAGGCGAGCATCTGCTCCACCACAGCCAACGCAACTAGAGCTGGCAGAGCTATCGACCCCGTTACCGGCACCAGTACGCCACCGCTAACGCACCTCGAAGATGGCCTAAGAAGAATCCCGCTACTGCTTACACCAGCAGAAAGGATCTTCGGGGGAGTCACCGACCAGGTACTCAGGGTCGTGAGAGAAATGCTCAACGAGCAATCACTCACTTGTTCCCCAGATAGCACTAGAGTACACACATGGCCACAGAAAATAGCCTCAACCTCGAGAGGTGGACAGGGACCACAACGGAGGAAAGTGGTGGAAATCCCACCACAGCTAATGCCCCCTCGCCCAGATGCCGTCAAGCTGAAGGCACAGGAGCGACGGCTATCGCAGGACGGACAGATGGCGACACAGACGCTGCAGGTCAGACCTCTACCGAGAGCTACCGCACTCAAGAATAACCGTCAACAGCAAACGGAAAACGAGAGCGCTAACGTACTGACACAAAGTACACAGGCCCCTGGCAAGCAAGAAAAATTATGTTTTTTTTTGCGAAAAGGGTGGCCACACGTACAGTAAATGTGAAAGCTATCGGGCAACACTCGCCACAAACGAGGGTAAACTGCGACAACACCTACAGTTCTCTTTCGACTGCGGCAGAGGGCAGACTATGAAACCATGCCCCAACTGCAGGGAGAGATGGCGGGCAATAGGCCCCTACATCGCCACCTTGGGCACAAATGTGCCAAGGGAGGCCCTGCAGCCTCACCAAACTGCTAGCTCTAACATCGTGGCCGATGCTACAGCAGCAGTGTTGCAGCAGCTACAGACGGCCGGAGTGTTACCAACAAACAGGGACACTATCGACCTCGTGAGGAACACCTCGCAGAGGAGAAGGGCAAGGAGACACAGGAAGTGAACCCTTTGACCCCCTCGATCTAAATCTCGCGGAAAGACATCCTACCGACACAGCAGAGGCCACCGCCTAATCTGCCTTACCGACCACGCGCTACCGGACGCTAGCGATTAGAGACAGCGATCGGCACGCTATTGAAAAACAGATAAATAATAAATAAAATTAATTATGAATAGTTCCTATGGCTACCGACATCATTAACCCCACCCTTACCAAATACCAATCAAAACGAACTTTATTAGGGAGGGGACAGCTCGAACGACTATAAAAGTCGCTACGCTAACGAAATATCGGGAGTTCTGTTCAGACATCGCTCTGCAGAAGTCAACTATCGAGCTACCGACAACTCTCGTTTCGCTTTCGCATTCAAGCTGCGCTACCTTTGCGTAGCTAACGAACGCTATCGAAAAATTACCGGATACTCAACTACCGAAGAGTCAGCTATCGGAAAAGAAAAATAATAATCTAGCTAACGGGATTTGCTATGGGCATACTATCGAGAATATTAGAAAACACTAGCTATCGTCAGAAGAACACTACCGGATGCACAGGAGAATGGTACAGAAGCCATAGCTTTTCCTCGTGGACGGAAGCTTGACGAGAATTCCTCAGTCGCTTCTCGGGTCCAGACTACCAGTTAGCCTTGGTAGATGAAATATCCAAGTGCACTCAAAGCGAGAAAGAGCCAATGTCAGAATTCCTGACAAAAATCAAAAGCTTGTTCAACCGCCTAACAGATCCCTGGCCGGAAAGCCAGCAAGTGCGACGTTGCCATGGAAATTTGCTGCGCGCTATCGCATTAACCTCACTTATCGGAACGATATGACATTTGAGGAGCTAGAGAAAGAACCCATCCGGAAGGAACAGGCATGCTCTAAATTCAACAAGTGGAGACCACCGCCGAAAGCGCAAGAGTCACTATGCCCCTCACTCGCCTACGCGGAAGCCTCGAACCATCAAAAGTTTCAGAGGACAGGATAGATCTGCGGAGGATAGAGAGTGACAATGAGTCCCCTCGATCCGCCCAGAGCGAGTCTGATGAGGAATCTATGGCAGAAATCTTGATGTTGATC